CATCTTATTTGTTTAGGAGACAATTTCCTGGGTGATTTTAAAGCCTCTAAGTTCTTATGATCTGTCCAAACTTCAAATGGCTTTTCCGCCCCTTCTAGCAGGTGTCTTCAATTCATTAATGCCCATTTTACAGCGAAAACCTCCTTTTCCCACACCTCCTCTCAGTTTCAGAAAACTTTCTGGATAAGTAAGCACAAGGTCTTAATACTCCTCCCTCATCTTTTTGCAGCAGGACTGCCCCCATGGCCACATCTGAAGCATCTGCTTGAATTACAAAAGGCATTGTAGGATCTGGGTGCTTCAGAATGGGTTCAACTGTAAATAACGCTTTGAGGCTTTCAAACGCCTCCTGACAGTCTTTTGTCCAATTTAAGGTAGCCCCTGGTTTTTTTTCTTCTACAGTGTTCTTGTCTTTAGTTTTTAACAAGTCTGTTAAAGGCAATGCTACTTGGGCAAAATTTGGAATAAATTGTCTGTAAAAGTTTGCAAAACCCAGAAAACTTTGCAGCTGTCTCCTTGTTTTGGGTGCCTCCCAGGCTTTTGATGAATAGCTAGAGATATGGAGATAATTATGTATGTATGTATGTATGTATGTATGTATGTATGTATGTATGTATGAAATGTATATGCCACCCATCTCCCCCAGAGGGTGACTCTGGGCAGCTCACAATTAAAATAAAACCCCCAAACAGTGAAAAATATAAATACCCACATTAATTTAGTTAGAAAGTCCAATTACATATAAAAAGACCGTATACGTAAAAAGACTAATAATGTTCATTCTCACACATTGTTCATGTTTCTCTCTGGTTTTGTCTGTGTGGCATCTTCCAATGTGGACAGTTAACTGTTTCTGAGCTTTGCTGATGTTTAATAAATAAGCCTCAAACTATATTTTTGCCGGCTGATCTGAATGGTGGATGGGTGTGCTTGCTCTGATGTGCGTGTGGGCAAACTATGTAGACTGGAAATGACCCGTGATCATTTTTCAACACCATCTCCAAAGTGGAGTGGAGCTGTGATATGCGTAATCCCGTGTCTGCCAACTTCTTCAAGGTAAGGAATAATCATTGTCCTGCTCTGGTCAGCAATGGCCGATCTGCCTAGAATACTGTGTCCAATTCTGGACCCTGCATTTCAGCAAGGAACGTTGACAAACCAGAGTGGGCCCAGAGAAGGGCGACCAAGGATGATGAGGAAGAAAAGATCTGTGAGAAATGATTGGAGGCACTGGACACGCTCTTCAGCTTGGAGAGGAGGAGAATATGGGTGATCTGATGGTGGTCTTCATGCATCTGAAGGGCTGTTAGGGGCCCAGTTTTGGGGGTCTTTCTGGAAGACATGAAACAATGGGTGTAAATGTCAAAAAAGTAGATTTAAGTTGGGCACCAGAAAAAATGTCCTAATGGAGTTTAAGAATGGCCTCGGGAGGTGGTGGGCACTCCTTTGATGGAGTGTTTAGACCGAAGCTAGATGGGCACCTATCAGGAGTGCTGCGGTGCTGCATTCCTGCACAGGGCAGGGCGTTGGGCTAGATCATCTCCAAGATCCCTTCTGTGTTTTAATGTTTCTATACTCAGTGGCTCCTGTTCCCATGTACTCTCCCTCTACCTTTTGCAGTTCAGTTTCGCATCGTCTGTATGGATGAAGGTTTCAATCCTGTGAAGGAGAAGGTAAATTCTGTGGGATATCAAGACAGTCAGACATGGGGGCGTTTGGCATCTCCACGCCAAAATGTTCCATTCACATCCTCCCAGGGGAATTGTAGACACCCACATACACACACATACAACATTCAACCCACTGAGTGCAGAGACACTCTTGGGTGAAAACTAGTGAAGACTCATGGGTTAGGTTAAAGTGTTGGATTAGTACAGGGTGGTCCGGGTTCGAATCACCCTTAGCCATGAAAGCCGGCTGGGTGACGGGGCACTCTCAACCCAACCAACCTGACAGGGTGGTTGTTATGAGGGAAAATTCTAAGAGTGTGCACGGCCTTTAGTCCCTAGAGGAAAGACAGGATACAAATAAATAAACATAGAAATGATAATGCAACGATAAAGAATCTCCCATGACCTTTTTCTTCTCTCTCTCTTTTTCTCTATCCTCTTTTTCATTCCTTGCTGTCTCTGATTTTTCTGTTTTGTTTTGGTTTTGTCTCCATAGATTCCAGTTGTTTACATCCAGGTATGTGCTGAAAGGCCACAGCAGGTTCCAGCATTATGGCTGATTGGATCTCATTAATCTTCCGATAGGAGGCCACCAGGAAATCTGAGGGCTACAGGCTCTTGGGAAGTCCAAATGGCAAATTGTTGCCCAGAAAATGATACAAGGCGATCCCTCGGCGGCAAGGGAGAGAGAGATCTTATTTTTTAAGTAGCTAATGTCGAGTCCCGTTCCACTTCTGTAAGAATGTGGCTGTTTCACATAGTCACAAGAAGTAGCAGAAATTAGCGCTGCCAAGAAGTGAGAGGTACTTTACCCTTGGCCAGGCCTGTACCTGTCTTCTTGACCAGGAATTGGGCTGAATGAGAGCCCTCCCCTTGCATTTGGTCACAGAAACAGCGCCATCAATAAAGTAAATCAACTAAAAATATGAATCAACTTCCTGCACAAAGTAGTTCATGGAAAACAAGATTAGTGCTGGCATACCTGGGCTGCATTTACTCGAGGTGCCCACTACATGGCAGCAGAATGGAGATATACCCAGTCGGTGAACACTTTCCTGCCATCTAGTGGTCCTCTGGAGTAATGCAGTCCAGATCTGGTAACCCTAATCAAAAGACTTGCTTTGTTTCACTACTTTGCTTCTTAAATTAGTTGCTTTAGAGTTGTTAAACTACTCAAGGAACCATCTCCCAGCCTCCCCCAGCTTGTACCATCTGAGCTTGATCCTCCATTTGCCCAGTGGTAGAGCCTTCTTGCTAATACCTAAAGCTATCATCTCCAACCTGGGGCCCTCCAGAAAATTAGGAAGTAGAATTCCCCGAATTTCCAGCCAATGCAACAACTGGTCCTGCTGGGTGCAGGTTCTGGGAGCTTAATCCCAACCCATCTGGCGGGCATCTGGAAGGTTGTCACACACCATACCCTGCTAATAGTACTTGGAGAATGGGATAGGATTACATCATCTGGGTCACAAGCCATTGATTCTAGAACAATTCTGGGTTATGAACAGACTTTGGGACTTGTTATCTTGCTCTTTCCAGGACTCCAAAAACAACCGGGTGTTCCAATGGAGAGATGTGGAGATTCCAATGGGCATAACCCAGCTTTCCTATCCTCTGTCTTCCGATCCCCCCTTGGGCACCTACCAAGTGGTGGTAGAGAAAGACTCCAAGAAGGTCGCTGAATACAGCTTCGATGTGGACGAATATGGTAAGAAGGAGAGATCCTGTTTGCCCTGGATGAACGTCAGTTAAGGCTACCAGGTCTGATCTGCAAAAATCTGGACAACTGTGAGATGATAGAGAAGAATTGCTGCCCTCTAGTGGTCATGCAGATTTTTTGCAGTGCAAGCTTGGCAGCTCTCCTTACCCTTTCTGCCACCTGGTGGTCATTCAGACATTTGCACCCAGAGCTGATAAACCATACTGCGTCTAAAATGACCACTGAGCTCTGAAATTGGGATCTTCTGCCCTTCAAGATAAACAGTAATTTTCTCTAAGCATCCATTGGAAAGAATACTTAATTCAGACTCTTGCACTAAGCTGGGAGCTGGCCCCAGGATCTCCTTCCAATTTGGGCATTCTAATAAAAAGAATCATTGTTGAACCCTCCTCCCAGAAACACTACGACCCTGTCTAGCAATTAAAATGAAAAATGTGAGGCATTGCATCCAGCCACTTTGATTTTCATGATATTTATCATGAATGTTTTAATTGGTTGCATGTCTTCATTGGGCTCCTATAGACTGCTGTGAGTCTTTCTTGATTTGGCCATTTACAAATAGAATAAATAAAAACAAATACATAAATAAAATTAGCTTTTGGATGTTCCAAATTATTCTGCATTGTTGAATTGGAGTTCGTTCAGTCCCTCTGAAGCTGCAACAGTTTAATCTGCACACTGAAGATTGAAGATTTAAATGCCTCTCCATGTTGAGGTGATAAAATTTTAAAAATAATTACTCCTAGAACATTTATATTTGGGATTGTTTTTAATGATGGGAAAAGCAGGACAGGAATGGTATAAAGGAAATAAGAAAGATGTATTTGGTAATGAGGATTAGCAAGCCAGAGACCTCACAATGCTGTTTATCCAGTTCAATTCTGAGACTGAGTTTCTCCAACAAATTTAACATCAATTTGCTAACTGAGCTAAGTTAACCCATTTCCTGCATTTAGAGAATACAAACTACCAGCTAATCAAATAGAGACCACAAACTAATCTGGAGTGTCTATGGCAGGAGGGGCACAAAAGTCAAGATGGTGGCTGGGACAGTGTGATCAAAGCCTCACCCACTTTTAGGGTGTCTGTGATACACATAAAAAAGGGGGAGATTCTCGCTCACACATTCCTGGTTGCCATCTTCACCTTTTTAACTACCCCCGTGAACACCCCTGAAACTAATCCAACTGGCTGAACTTCTACAAGACGTAAGCCACCAAAAACAACAAGGACAAATGACCTAAGGTGAAAGCCACATTTTTTAGCAGGTTGTCCAAACACAACTGTTAAATTTGTTCCAGCATAACATTTACTGTTTTTAATGCGGACGTTAATTCAATTTACATCTTACTTTTCCTTCGGGACCCCAAGATAGCAAGGAAGTCCTGGTCCGTCTAATTCCTCCCACCCCCATAACCCTCAAGGAGGGTCACAGGAGAAAACTGAAAAGTTTGTTCTTCCACAAGGTTCAGCCCGTGATTTCTTTCCCTTCCCTTTCCTCTTTCTAGTTTTGCCTAAATTTGAGGTTTTGGTAAAGGCCCCCAAGCTCATCTCAGTTCTAGCTAAGAAAATAGAAGTCAGCGTGTGTGGCAGGTAAGTGATGCTTATCTACACTCCTTTTCACATTGTGAGCAGGGAGTGCAGGATTTTCCTGGCTCGACTGCTGAAGGAAGGGAGGACGAAAAGTCTACTCACGTTTGGGTGCTGCTCACTTCTTGGTAACTTCATGCCCTTGTAGTTTTCTTGACAGAGGCATGGCAGTGACTTTACATTGCTTTCTTCTGGGAGTGTCATATTTAATTTCCTGGCCTGGGATCTCTTGGTGGCCTCCTGCCCAAATACTGGACAGGCTAAATCCTGCTGAGGCTCAGAAATCAGCCAAGTTTGGTTTTGCATTGCCAGCTTGCAGAGCATAGGCAGAAATGCACGATAGTGATGAGGACAATAATTTTCTTCCTTCTGAAGGAAACCAGAGCAATGCACAAAAGAACAATAAAAACGTCTTTCATAAGAAATAATGAGATAAAATAAATCTTAATAAATAAATATCGATGAATCTGGTGAGCTAGAAATTAGAACCATAATAAGCAGAATTCACTTTAAGGCAGTCTAGACCTAGTCGGGTTGTTATTGTGAAAGGCTGGGTGAACGAGGACATCTTCCAGGGTCATTTCAACCAAGACAGAATAAATAAGTGAAAAATATCCTGGCTGGAAGATTTGCTCTGGAATAGCATCTGCAAACTGCCTGGAGTCCATCTGGCCTGAGATGGTGGAGAAATGGCAAAAATAAACTAAACTAATAAATAGAATAAAATGATACTGTGTCATATAAGATGAAATAAAATCATTTAAAAAATAAATAAATGATACGGGACGTCATAAAAATGAGAAAGAATGATGAAAGAAAGAAAGAAAAATAAGAAATGTGATACAAAATAAATATTGTTTCTAATGCCTTCGAAAGAAAACAACATGGAAGGTCAAAGCAATGCAAAGCCAAGCCAGAGTTATATGTATGGGATCGGCAGCTATATAAATTAGAATACTAAATAAAAAAATATCCTTGTGGCTTCCAGTGAATCAGTGCTTCTCAACCTCGGCGACTTTGAGATGCGGGGACTTCAACTCCCAGAATTCCCCAGCCAGCATGGCTGGCTGGGGAATTCTGGAAGTTGAAGTCCCCGCATCTCAAAGTCGCCGAGGTTGAGAAACACTGCGGATGCTGCAGGTCCCGTTGGTGGTCTTTCTCTACGCAATCATCTCCCTACCTGTGATTTTCTCAACAGTGGTTTGTTCTGACTGCAGGTACACCTATGAGAAACCTGTGCCCGGCCTGGTGAAGATGAGTCTTTGCCGGCATCACTACCAACTTGATTTCCAGTGTTACAGTAATACAACTCTGTGTAAAGAATTTGACGGTGAGGTAAGGGATGTGGAGATCTTTGGACCTACCATTTAGGCCTATTTTTAAACCTATTTTTTTACTATTTTTAAAATGGGGATTATAGTGCCCTTATCTTGCTTCACTCCAACAAACAATAGGGAGGGTGATCCTTCAGACAACTGAGAACTCAGGTTGAAAATAATCGATGCTCGCATGATTGACACGGTATTGAAAGCATTAGCAAAAAGGGGACATCGCTTTCTTTAACCCTCTTCCCCCACTTCCAAAACGGTATTTATTTCCATTAAAATGGCTCTGCAATCTGTATAGGGCTAAAACTCTCATTGTGTGTATCTTTTTGTCTGTTTGTCATCTCAAGTTAACCCAAACGGTGCATTATGCCGGAAGAATTTTTCAACCTAAAATCCCTTAATTTAAAGAATGCATGAAAATCTGGGACCCATTACTCCTGTGGAATTGAAATTTCCACAGTGTTCACACTAGTTTTATTTACAAAGTTGTGGCCATTGTAGCATCCCCGCGGTCACACGATCATGATTTCCGACGCCCCCTGCCAGCTTCCCACCAGCAAAGTCAATGGGGAAGTCGGCCAGAAGTCGGAAGTCGCTCCCAGCTCTCACTTTTTTTTGCCTGCCCGTGGTCATTCTGTTTCTCTGTTTAGGTAAGTAAATAGTGACTTATTATTGAAGTTCGTTTGCCACTACAATTATTTTTCTATTTGTGATGTGTACTCTTCTTAGATGATCACAGGACCGTCCAGCATTGGGGTAAAAAAAAATATGGCCAGCCTAAAATTTAATGTTCACATCAGCCCGCACTACCTTTCTCTCAAAGGATGACTCAGCGGGTCACAGGGTTGTCTAGTCTTCTCTTCAATTCCTTGTTCTCTTTGAACAAGGGAGTTGGTTTCCAACCCATTTGGAAGGCATCAGCCTGAAGTAGGTGCCTTCCTGGAGAAGGAATGCGGTACTATTTGCAAAGGGTCACGGGCTGTTCTTTCTTGGTTGCGGCACACAGGCAGATGGGAACGGCTGCTTCTCCAAGGTGGTGGACATGGAGGAGTTCCACCTGATGTGGCTTGGCTACCTGATGAGCATAGTTGTAGAAGGCAAGATCACAGAGGAAGGCACAGGTAATCCTCATGAAACAAAAGCACAAGGACCAGAAAAGATCATAGCGTGGAGCTGGGACATTGCATCTTAGCTAGTGGGATGGAGCTAGGCCAGTGGCAAAGAGGAGCCACCAGTCGGAAGGGCCCCTGGAGATTATTGGCTGGGGGGCTCATTCGGGAAATTTGGAGCATGCTGTGGGCACTGTCACCGACTGGCTGCCAGGATGGCCCACAACCAGACCTGAAACTCCCATTTCCAGCAAGGCAGGCTTGGGAGACTGGCGGGGAGGGAACCAAGCATTTAAGTCTAAGGCAGTGGTGGCATCTGAGTTATAAATGAGAAAACTATTTTCTGTTCCAGCTCCCATTTCACAGAAGGTGAACGGATGAGGTTCAAGGGGAAAAAAAGATCAGCTGGACAAAGCACTTGTAAAAATCAGTCTGAGACACACCAGCTAAATGTGCTACCCCGTAAAGGGCTACCAAATGCCAATTCAAGCCAATGAAAGGGGTTATGCTATAGAAATCTGCACACGGGGGATCCTGGGGATCATCTAATCCAACCCCTTGTCCGAAGCAGAAATCCAGAGGCGCAATGGGGATGACCGTCAAGACAGTCGGGCTTAGGGGCACCCCAGAGAGGAGCCCCCCTCCCCCAAAGGCAGAGTCTGGGAAACGGGAGGGGAAGCGATGAAGCAGCCTCCCGCAGAGAGTGCTTCTCTTCAACAGGGGTGGAGTTCAGCGGCACGGAATCCATTGAGATCACATCCACGATCAGCAAGATTACCTTTGAAAATGCAGACCATTACTATAAAGCTGGGATTCCCTATGTTGTGAAGGTGAGAGAGGAGCCGTGGTTTCTCTGGGAAGCTTGATTTGAAACCATTCCTGCTACACCTCACAGTAGGTGGATGGAAGGGCTCGGCTGTATGTATCAGCCCAGCCAGCCCCTCCCGTCTGCTGAAATGCCATTTCTTCATCCCAGCAGCTGCTGGCCAGTTGCTCTGAGCC